GATGACTCAAGGGATGCCCTTTTGATCTGGACTGTAGAGTAGCATTTATGAGCAGGCTTGGAAATGTTGTTTAAAATCACTGAGTACATGTTGCAGTGCCTATTATCAGTGCTGCTGTCAATCCAACCAGCTGATGTTGCAACAGAGGTTATGAGACCTGTCACAGGCCACTGCTTGAAAAAGTGTTTCTGTTTGACTGAGGAGTTACTGATTGCCAGAAAGTGGAATTCTGCTTTTTGCTGATTTTTGGAAAGCACTGGTGGACTTCTACTGTCTGATGCTCTGGCTCCTGGAACTCTTTCTCAGGAGCCCGGTGGGAAATAGTCAGGAGGATGCATCACTCAGTGGAATGAGGGCCTGTTCTCTTTCTGTCCATCAGTCAAGCGTTGAGACTCTCTGGCCAAATGAGCCTAGGGCATTAAGGATGAACTCTGTCTAGTACATGTTCGAGGTAGATAGATTTTTGAGAGCAAAGATTTTAGTTGGGGTGGGAGATTTGTTTCAGTTTGTTTGTTTTTTCCCAATAGAGTTGTAAAAATTATTATGAATAAAGTCTTGAGTCAGGGAAAAAATCTCAATAGTTTGAAGGCAGAAAGGAGCTGCAACTAAGAAGAGGAATTCTCAGTGAACATTCATAGACAAGGGATATTTTTTAAAGGTTGCCCAGACAATCTGAGCTCAAACATCCTACCTTGGCTAGAAGACTGAAGTAGAAACAGTATAAAAAAATCTCTGATTATTTTCAGTGTGTAAAACAATGACTAACCCCTTCCCTCCCCAATCCCCAAGAGAAAATTCTTAACACTCTCTCAACCACACCCCGCTGCAAAAAAAAAAAAAAAAAAAGCCCTTAACTTGGTTGTTTTGGCTTTACTGTTTTTCAGTCTTCAAAGCTCACACACCCACACACCAATACAGAACCATCATCATTTGTGTTTCCACCAGCCAACATTTGGTTAAGCTTCAGTTTCTGCAGTTTTTGGTGTGTGTCTGACTGACTGTCTATGGCAGGGTTAGGGTAGATGACTCACAAGTATCTTTTCTTCCAAATGTAAAACTATCTGATAATGCTGAATGTGCTTTCCTGGCCCCACATCCAGATTGTAATGTGAGTTTCCCAGTCTCCTCTTTGAGAACCCCTGGGTTGAAATTCCCAAATATTTCCACTGAAAAACTAGAACCCAGCTGCAAAGTCATGGATCTTTTCACTTCGGTTCCTAAGCATTTCCAAGCTGTAGGAAGAGTCTGGCGCTTGGAACTGAATGGAGCCAATTTATCCCAGCTCCACCCCATTGCTTTCATGATGTGGTTTGAGACAAGCCTTTATTTTTGAGATGCTCTTTTGCCCACAACACACACATCAATCGTCAGCCTTTTAAGCACAACCTCTTCAGAGAACTGAGGTTCTTATGAACTTAACCAAGAAGGACAACCTCTTTGATCATCTTTCTTTGTGGCTACAGCAGCATGCTCTGGTTTCCTCAGGAATGGGCAGTGTTCCGAGCTGCAGTGCCTAGATGAAGCTGATAATCAGCTCTGTGGTTGAAGGAACAAGTGTTTTATGGGTTTGGGAAACAAAGATTAATATTAGGCCCCAATATGCCAGTCTCATCCTTTATAGACTATTACTCATTTTGATCTCTTAGAATTACATTAGGTAAAATAAGCCGAGGCCAGGGAGCACTAACTTTTTTTCCTTCATTACCCACTTCATTCTATGGGGCTTCTCTCTTTTTCTTATGTTCCCATAAGAAAATGCTGGAGGCTGTGTCTACACAGGTTGTGAATTGCAGTGTGAACAGCGCCCCTGGAGCTGGCAGGCCCGGCTGCAGGTGCCTGTGGGCAGAGGGCCTTCTTCAGCGGGGCCCTTGGGACCTGCTCCTATAGGAAAGGCAATGGATTCATCTGGAAATGCCTCCAACTCCCAGCTTTCTGTTCTTCTGGAGGTAGATTTAAGCCTGGAAGTTCATAAGCTAGTAAGAACCTGGTACCTGGGGACCTCTTATCCACAGAGGTCCGCTTATCAGCCACTCATTAGATTGTTGCTTAGGGGAATCCCGTGGATTCTTTTCTTTCAGAAACTACATGTCTTCCTGTTTCAAGAAGTCCTTGTGATCACCCGAGCCGTCACCCACAACGAGCAGCTGTGCTACCAGTTGTACCGGCAGCCTATCCCGGTGAAGGACCTCCTGCTGGAAGACCTGCAGGACGGAGAAGTGAGGCTGGGCGGCTCCCTGCGTGGGGCATTCAGCAACAACGAGAGAAGTATGGAGGACTGGCCATTTTGTCCTGTTGAATGTCTTTGGTGGTGGTTTGGAGGGAGTGGCTGGCTGGTGGAAAGAGAAGAGCCATGGCCTTGGGTCAAACTGCATTCCAGTTTTGTGTCATCACTTACTGATTGTGTAACCTTGCTCAACCTGTGTGAGCCTTAGTTTTCTATCTGCAAAGTGGGGATGTGTGCATATCTACTTCATAGGATTGTTGCAAGGATTAAATGAGACCCTGCAAGCTGACCTGTCTGCTCATAACTGGTGCCCCTTAAGCTGTCTTTCTCTGACTCCTTCCATTGGGTAGAAGCATTCTTAAGACCAGACAGTCCCTATGTGATTACCAGGTACATAACAGTGGGTTTTGTAGTTGAGCTAACAGACTTGTCTCTAAAGAGACATAACTATGGTCAAATGGGTTAAGGGTTCATTTGCAGTTACTCAACTGGGCTTCTCTAACTTAAAACTTAATAAACCAAGGAATTAACCAAGAGAAGCTTAGACAGCAGTGTCTATGTAGTGTCTTTTGTGTGTCAGACACTGTGCTAGGCACTAGCACACACTGGTGAACCAGACAGCTCAATTCCTTGGAAGCCCTATGGAACTGACACTGTGACTGAAGAGATAGGTAAGAGACAAGTAAATATTCTGGGTGCTGTTAAGAAAACTAAAACCCAGTAAGGGAATAGAGAGGGATAGCAATAGGAGGTCTGTTTAAGATGAAATGATCAGGGAAGACTTCTCGGAAAAAGTAACATTTGAGCCTCTTAGGTTAACATTGGCATCGTATGGTCGAAGTAATTAACGTGTACTGCCTCTTACCTACACCCCCGTCCCTCCACCCTAGTGGTAGTACTTAAAGTTCTCAAGTACTATGTGCCAGGCATTATATAAGTACTGACATATATTATCACATTTCTCTCTCATAATAACCATCTAAGGTAAGTTCTCTTCGTTATCCCCATTTTACAAATGAGGAAACTGAGACATAAAGGAGTTAAGGCATTTGCCCCACAGCAGAGTAGAGCCTGAAGCTCCACTGTTTTATCTGAAGCTAGTCTGTTGTCTACAGGCATTGTGCAAGGGGACTGACTGACCTCAGATGCTTCTGTGAACCCCATGCATGTGGCACGTGGGGCCCATTTAATCCCAGTTAATGTTGTTATTAAACTAAATCAAATGTCATGCATACTGTGCACTGCTGTTTTTTAAATGCACGTAGCTCCTGTTGAGGTTACTAAAATGTCATTTTATTTTAAAATGAAACCAAACTTATAAGAGTTCTGTGTCTTTACATATCTTCTTAATCATCAGATACTAAATGTACAGATATTATCATGTGGAGGGTCGTGGGCCTGTTTGATGTTACAAAGGGCTTCTTAAACTTGAAAAAGCCCTAGCTTGGAACAGTTGTTGGAATTACAGATTATTAGGCCCACCTGAGCCCTATTGAATCCAAATCTCTAAGGGTAGGGCCCCAGGATCTGTATTTTTAACATGCTGTCAGGGGATTTTGACATGCAGCCAGGTTTGGTACCCAGTACTCTGGGGTCCCCTTAAACACAAGACTTAATTGTTCTGCACTGATTTGCTAGCTTCTGAGGACAACTTAGGGCAACCAAGTGCCAGACCTGTGTCAACTCCTATTGACTGATGGAGGCTGCAAGGTAGAGCTGAGCCGTATCCTGGATCAGTGGGACACATTTACTAGTCAATTAGTGATGTCTGCCATGGGTACTTGGATACATGGGAGGTTAGTGTCACTACATGTGTTCTCTTTGGCTTGGGGTAATATCTGTTCATTGACCTCTTTTTTCATGTGTTTTTCATTACTAGTTAAAAACTTCTTCAGAGTAAGTTTCAAAAATGGATCCCAAAGTCAGACTCATTCACTACAAGCCAACGACACCTTCAACAAACAGCAGTGGCTCAACTGTATTCGTCAAGCCAAAGAAACAGTTGTGTGTGCTGCTGGGCAGGCTGGGGTACTTGACTCCGAGGGATCGTTCCTAGATCCCGCCGCTGAAAGCAGGGAGCCACAGGGAGAAACAAAACTTGAGCAGATGGACCAATCGGACAGTGAATCGGATTGTAGCATGGACACAAGTGAGGTCAGCGTGGACTGTGAGCGTATGGAACAGACAGACTCTTCCTGTGGGAATAGCAGGCACATTGAAAGCAACGTCTGACAGAAGCGTGTACTTCCTGGAAGTAGCCCTGTGTCCTACCTGTACAGTATTTGCATTCCACACATGGAACGGTTTGGAGAAGCACTTTTTGATACTTTTGTGACTGTGTTGACCCAGTCTCTTCAATCTGTACTTTGTCCCTAGTACTGTAACTGCCAGTCTGTCTGTGTAAACTGGAATCTGAGGTGACTGTTACCCTGTATTGTATTTCACAAATGTCTGGATGGATGGAGCAAATTACTTTCACTTGTCCTGCTGGATTTTTAAAAAGTACAGAGAAAAAAAATCTCTAAACTACCATTTTGTGTAGATTGCTTAAAGGATCCTTCTGTGTATCTCTAGTGTTTTTCTGGCTCTTTGCCAGAGTAGCTGAAGGCATGGAATTTAAAGGGCCTAGCAAACAAGGCATGAGGAAGTCAGTCATGTACCATGATGGCATTTGAAGGAGAACCAGGAAAGATCAATGTTTCGAGTGAAATTGGTTTGATGTTATTCAACCAGAAAGCATAAAGATATCCCTGGGGATTCCAAAGGCTTAATTTTGCAAAGGAAGAATCACTTGACCTTGCAATTTCATCCAGTGCAAATTTGATGCAGTAATCTATTAGGACATGAAATAGAGTCTGACCTTAAAAGGACTAGCACAAAAGCAGCTGTCAGTTCTGAATCTTGAACTGAAATGTGCATTGCACCAGGAGGTCTCTGCCATAGATGCTGGCTTGCCTTAGAGAGCCATCTCTAGTCTAAAACATCAGAATAGAACTCAGAGGGACTGGGAATATCTGGCAGGATAACAAAAAGGCCCATCTTGGCTTTGTTTCATCTGCCTAAGCCTACTCATATTTTAGAGCATGAATGAAGAGATGAGGAAAAGAGATTGCGGCTGAGTCAGTGACTCTGTCTACAGAAGCATGTGAGAAGAATTTGGAAGAAGTGCTCCATCATGATCTTATGTGGGAAACATTAAAAGAGAAAAGCATGGTCCAGTGTCCTTCTGGGAAAGGCCAGAGCCTTGGGTTTTCCTGCTGTGCTTTTGGGTCATCAGTTTATCATCTCTGGCTCTCTGCTGGGCTCAGAATCATCATTATATTCTCCAGAGACCAACTTAATTAACTCTATGATTAATTAGGATTAGTTAGCCAAACTAGTAAACTTTGTCCAGCCTTGATTTACAATGCAGGGTGGGTTACAGACCTTAAAAACAAACAAACAAACATTAACTGAATACACAGAAAAGCTCCCTGTGAGTGTAAATATTAAAGACAACCTGTGCAAAATTAGACCCACACCAGCACTAGTAGTAATGGTTCTAAATTATTGCCAAAAAAAGTTTTTTTTCTCAATCTTTTGTCTTTCAAGTTTACAGAAGGAAAGCAGTAAATACTATGTTGTCATTTTATGATGTACGTCTGTAATGTGCATTCAAAGAAGCTGTGTGACAAGATTTATCAATGTAAAAACAAGATATAATACTTTTTTTTCAAAAATAAAACAAAAAAAAGTTGTGGTCAGTTTTACCCTATAAAACATATTTCTGTATTTATAGATTTTAAACAAGGTGAATTTTTTTTTCTATTACAAGTTTATTTAAAACTGCTTTGTTTCTCAAGTTGTTACTGATGCGGTGAGTGAATGAACCAGCTGCAGAGAGGAGCAGAGAAAAGCTGAGAAAGATTGTCTGATGCTGGAGAAAAGAACGAATCATTCTTGGCAGAGCCATCGACCACTTTGGCCAGCATGTTGAGAAAAGAGGTCTGTCAGGGCCAGCCTATGGGAAGAAAGTCAATGAATGTTTTCATGAAATGAATGTTTTTGTAAAATGGCCTTAAACTTTTCTGGAAGCATTTCAAATAAATTACATTAAAATGTCATCCTCTTTGTGTACTGTATTTGCCCTACAGACGTCAAATTTCAGCTATCTTCCTGGGAGGTTCTTTCTGACGTTTTTGCTTGGACCCAAATACACATATTAAAATAGGGTGTGGGTTGAAATAAATGCTTTGGTTTGATCTCTCAAAGCTTTTGCAAAACTCCTGTTTCTAAGATATACATTTTCAAGTATTCTCATTTTTAACAGCTGTGTCTTGAATCTGCACTAAGTGTCAAGGGATGTCATAATTGTTATAGAAAAGAAGTGTTGAGTCTCACTGCTAGTGTAGGTGACTGTTGATGAAATTGAAGCTAAATAATAGAAAGCCAGTTTTACTTCAGAACTCTTCCTAGAATTTCACTCCACTTTTTCTTTAATTAAAATGGTCAGTTCTGTTCCCCCAAAGAATAGTTTTTAGATAAAAAGGCTCGACAGCTTGAAGTGGTCAGTCGCCAATTCTCAGTAGCATGTCGCCCCAGTAAAGCTGGTAGTTAATCTTACCTTTATAAGAAGCGTTCACCATTTTCTTTAACACCCTGTTCCCAGATTAGTCAAGATATTCACATAAATAAAAGTCCAAATTTCTTCCCAAATGAAAACTCATTCCTTGTTCTCATCTTCTTACTTCTCCCTCCCTGTCATCATTCTTATCCTTCTTCAGTTCTACTCTGGGTGTTCCCTCCACTTTTTACTCTCATGATCGTATTGAACTTGTTACTAGAGAATGTCTCTCCTAGAATGTTAGAAAATATTTGCACTGACATTTTGTGGGCTAGTACAAGTGACTGGGAGCTAAATGGTTTTCTTGAGTCTATTTTCAAGGTATTATTTGACACACAAGTAAATACAGTTCTCACAGTCAAAGTTATCAGCAAAGAAAAGAGCCAGAACTAGCAATTTTGTGCAAAATTAGAGTGTGGTTTCGACTTCTGGTTAGCAGCCACCACCAGCAACTGCTTTCATTTGCATTCCTAGCACAGTTTGCAGCAGCTAGGAATGCAGAACTCTTCTTAACTACAGCCCTGCCTTAACAAATCTCTTTGGGTACAGGAAAATGCAACCCACCGTGTTGATGAACAAGCTGTTCAACTTTCCATTACCATGCTGTCCATGTCCATCTTTAACTAATTCTGCAGAAGCCTGAGGATTCCTTGGAAGTTTAATAAAGAGAACATCTGACTGCACAATTTCGCTTGAGCATTTTACCTCACCTGGCTCCCCTTGGCTTATGGAAAAAGCCATTGAACATCCCCTCTCACTGATGCGGTTGATTCATTTAATTCATGCTATCTCATTTATTGACAGAATTCTAGAATGACAGTATTGGAAATTTAAAGAAGATAACCCAAGCCCAAACTCACCAGAAGAAATCTGAAGATCAAGAAGACTGAAAACCTTGCCCACGTGAACACACAGTGAGAAAAGTCGACTGCATGCAATGTACCTAGAGGGTACTTACGCAAACAAATTTGCAAAACAGTTACTGCTCCTTTCATCTTTTTTCCTTCCTCCAGGTTTGGTTGGCACAGTCAGCTACACAGGTCTTCCCAGATGAAGCAGTTCATCAGTCCACCTGGAGGATTAGCAAGGAATTAGAGATGGCACTCTATCTTTGAGAGCTGATCATCTAGTTCAGGAACCTGGACATGCATTCTAAATAACTTGTTTATTTCCACGTCCACACACACATACACCTAATATTAATGAACTGTGTCACCTCACCTGTAAAGCTTTGAAAAATGCCATCCTCGGTGTTCTATTCACCCCATGTCTGTGAAATGGGGACACTGTAAACCCTCAAGCCATTTAAAAAGTGAGACAGTGCATGTGAAATCACTCTGAAAACTGTTGAGCTAGTAGTTTTCGTTGTCATTTAATAATCACTTTTAAACTTGCACATGGTGTTATGAAAATTTCTCAGAAGCACGGCCTTAGCTGGGGTCTTTTTCATTCATTCAGCTGCATATTTGGAGGATGGGGTTTGAAACGGCTTCTCAAGCCAGAGAATCTGGAATATTTCCTTATATTGTTTTCCTTTCCACAATTTTCTGTTTTCTCTTTCAGGAGCTCTGGAAAGAGAGATGTCAAGCTTCCTGGATTTGGCCTCTCAACCTCCTGGATTGGTTTTCATGTATTCTTACTTGTTTACTCCTATTTTATTTCCTTTTTTTTTCTCTTTTATGGAAATCTCTTCACCTTTATCTTCTAATCCGTCTATTAATTTGGGGAGAAGATTTTTATTGCTAAAGTTTTTTTTTCCTTTTTCTATCATTGTCCCTAATCTTATTTGCTGAAAGCAATATCTTTTTTTTATTATTAAGTATAGTCAGTTATAATGTGTCAGTTCCTGGTGTATAGCATAATGTCCCAGTCATGCATATATATACATATATTTATTTTCATATTCTTTTTCACTAAAGGTTACTACAAGATATTGAATATAATTCCCTGTGCTATACAGAAGAAATTTGTTTTTATCTATTTTTTTATATATTGGTTATCATTTGCAAATCTCAAACTCCCAGACTTACTCGTTCCAACCCCCTTTCCCCTGGTAACCATAAAGTTGTTTACTATGTCTGTGAGTCTGTTTCTGTTTTGTAGATGAATTCATTAGTGTCCTCTTTTTATCGCTGAGTAGTATTCTATTGTATAAATATACCAGAACTTCTTTATTTCATCTG